TTGGGGTCAGTCGTAACAATAAAATACCTACGAGGAAAACGTGAACTTTTAAGCTCCTACACACACACACGCTATCTTAACCATACAACAAGGCCGTCTGTTTTGACGTCTGTGTAACTATAGCTCCGGGACAGGAAAGTGCTCTAGACTGATCAATACCCCAACACAACGGGTTCCCGGTCGGTTACCAAGTAACGGCTCGTGATATATGACAGGAGGCGTGTGCGGGGCAGCTTACACGCTCAATACGCATTCGGTATATGTGCTGGAACAAAATTAAGAGGAACTAGTGCACCGTCGAATAAGTTCGTGGTACCGACTACTAGCAGGTTAATAGGCTGATAACTCCAGACCTGTATCTGCTTTTAGGATTCTGAGAGAAATTAAGAAGTTAGATCCTTGGTGAGTATATTATGCTATTGATTCCTCTATGTTAAGCCATACTGATATGTGAACTTCTTCCCCTTGCCTCCCTCCCCCTCGTTCCAATTAAAAGAAAATAACTAGTGAAACGAGTAAAACCAGATACCCCTGTGTCATACGTATTTCGTTTTTGAAAAAAACTCGGCATTTTTTAGCTTTGCTACACCCCCTTCACCCCTTTACCCCCTTCAGCAGGACCCTGGATTCACCGGTGAAGGTGGTAATAAGTGTTTTTAATTAGTTGTGATAATTACCACGTTATCACTTTTTTCAAGAGTTATATAAATTTATGTCGGAGAGCAAAGCCGGCAACTTTCATATAAATCGAGGGTAGGGGTGGGGAGAGAGAAAAACGTACAGCGACAAGGAAACAAAATTACTGCTTACAAACAAGGTTATATCAAATAGCTGCTGTTATGTGTGACTGTGATATGGTGATGATACTATATACTGCTGCATGTTTTTTCTATCACCAGTACAGAAATCTACAGTGAAAATGACCGAGCTTTATCATGTGGGGATATTATCAAGACAGATTTTGTATTATTGATGCGATGGCAGGGTACTATCAGGGTAATATCTGTAATATGCAGCCGAATATGCTTATGGCATTATCGTAATATACATTTGATACAGTGTGTGTCTACATGTATTAGGGGCATCCAACACCGGATTTGCCAAATCCGTTATAAAATATCTCCAGGAAGTACATGACTTAGTTGATTTAATATATCTGATATGTACGGGTATATCCCTGGACGGTGTATTGTGGAATAACATCTGGATATGGACGTTTTCTTGATACAGTTAACCCCATACACCCTGAAGTCAGTCTTAAAACAAGTTTAGCTAACTCTGTAATTAATGTCCCCTCACTGTTTTATTGTTTGTCGTACTGGCTACGTGATACGTGATACACGGAAATCAACAAGCACTGTACTTGGTAAACATTCATGTGCATATTTATAATATACAGTTTGGTCATCCTCCATAAATCATCTTTGTTGAAAGAGAGAGAGAGAGCGAGAGAGAGAATGAGAGAGAGATGTGAAATAAAAGAGAGAGAGAGCAAAAAAAAAAAAAAATGGGAGCGTATTCAACATCATGGCACTCATCGAGATAGCTCCATGTTTGCTGTGGGTAATACATAATTAATTTGTTTTGATTTCTATACATACGGGTATAGGCCTATGTGACGTCACAATGGTTTGGTGGTTAACAAGCTTGGTGTATATACAAATACTAGTAGACCAGTATGTACGTATCTATATTCATATTGTTTTTATATACAATTAAAGAACTTTAGTCAACCATCGTAAAAAAACGAAACACACACACACACACAAAACTTTCCATGTTTTTCCTCTAGTGTACAGCATTTCACCCGACATAATACCTGGGCACTCAGGTGGGTTGTCTGTCACAATGTATCTCCTGGCCGCAGTGCCCTGCGGGTGATTTGCTTCAAAATTGCACGATACCGTTTTCTTTCCTTTACGAAATATGGTAAGCTGTTTTATACACACGGACGGAAACTCTCATGTTCACAGTTAGTAAAATCAGTGTATTTGAGGATTGATGGTGGCAAAATAATACCAGAAGATGTTACAATATTCAGTCATTGTCTGCTGTTTCAGAAAAGCATTTCACTCCTTCGCACAAAAATAAATAAATAAATAAATAAATAAATAAATAAATAAATAAATAAATAAATAGGTGGCCGTGCCTGACCCTGATGGGAATGCTTGCGTCATAGGTAAAACAATTTAGAGGTGAAAGCCCGAGTGCGTAGCGGGTCGTCCTCCTGAGCTGATCACAAAAAAGAACGCATGAAAAATGTGCCGCTATCAATAAAAACAACACCTGGGGTTATTACCTGACGAAGACCCTCTTTTTTGCATTCCTGGAAGATTTTTTATTCGGTTTGTCTTGGTGAGGAATTTTCTGTGATGCCGAGCCAGATTGTGGTAGGTCGTCTGCTTTTGTTTCTGAAATAGACAGTATTTTATTTCTCTTATTTCCAGTAAAAAAATATATGCATGCCAGGCGTGTATTCTCTTGATAAATATGCCGATACGAAATATCATTATTATTTACAGGTTCTCGTCTGCTGGTTGAACTCTCTCTCACATTCCCGAGAACGTAGCAGACGATTTGGCCCAGGTGATGCGAGTCTCGCGACCTCAGTGAACTCTGAGGGTAAATATCCACGCAGTTGTCAAGACCTCGCGCCTACTTGTGTATTTTTTTTTCAATATTTTATATTCTATTTTATTACAAATCAAGATTATCAGGTGCTGATGGATATTGAAGCACTTGTAAAAAGTCTGTAAGATAGTACACTTTACCTTTATTGCAAAGCCAAACAAAATTCACATAGTTAGGGTAAAGAAGTACATTTAGGTTAGCCTTATATTTTAACGACGTAAAGATCCTTTTTATGTAGCCTTCATGTTGTCGTTAAATGCAGAAACTGGAACTAAAAACACATTATCTAAAAAGACTTACACGCATTGTGACAAGTGCAGTGACACCTGTTTGTATTCATTTGATGGCAACCGACGACTGGGACAACTTGTAGAGGTCCTAATGGACCAGGGGGGGAGGGGGGGGGGTATTGCGATAGTAGCGACTGGCGACACATTTGCATCCACTGGTCACATCGTCACTGCTCTCTCCGGCTATAATCTTTCACATGGTATTGTTTCCTGAACATGATGCTATCACGAAAATGGGTATGGACATCGGCAAGGATGTCAAGCACAATCGCTTTTCTTTATTGTTACGGGGTTTGTGAGCCCCTAATTAAGATGTCCCATTGATAAAATCTGAACTTAGGCTTTCAAGAATAGGCCTAATTAACAGCATGCATTTGTGCCAGTACCCAGTATAATTGTAGTACTCAAAGGTATCACGGTCTGAATTGGCAAACTTCAAAGAAATCACTCCAGACAATACAAATGAACACTAAATACTGCTTGTCACCCATTATCAAAAACGTGCACAGGCATGTAAAAGCAGTAGATAGATGCAATTTAGGCTTTGTCTCACGCTGCCTGGCACCTTTTAAAACGGAGAGGGCGGTCAGAAAGAGGGGAATGGGGTGTAACTTTGTTTCATAATATCCTGTGGAGACCTTTTAACCGCAGCATCACTTGAACTCTGTTCACAAGAAAGTCATGCAGGTTTGTGTTTATTACCTCCGCCAAGGAGGTTGTTTTCACCCATGTTTGTCGGTTTGTTTGTTTGTCTGTCTGTAGAAATCGTTGCCTTGGCGGAGGTCTACGCTTTCCCTTTTTTTACCACTACCAAACTGATGCAGCTACATGTATGTGCACTTCTCTCCAGCAGAGAATCTTGTCATGAATTAGTTAGAGACATATCTGTAAATATCTAGTGAAATAAAATCCATCTGTGACCCTGGTTGAGGCTATAGGACGATAATATTGCGTCCTAGGTAGAGGGAACTAAAATTGCACCCCGTAACTCTATATAAGGGACCATTCCCAGACCCTAACTTAAGCGGCTTAGACGTCGTGCACGCCTACTGAAGCTGCTAAACGAGGTAAATTACCCCCTAGCAGCTTCAGAAGGCGTGATAGACATTTAAGCCGCTTAAGCTGAAAGCAATTTAGCAAGAAACCCCTCGGAGATGGATCGATCCTGTAAGTTCGATCTAGGTATGGGAACCCAGTCTATGTAAGTATTATAATCTGCATCACAACCAGCACAACGACCTACATCTATTCATTACCAGCTGTTGAGCCGAGTGGCGTCTAAAAATAGACCAGTCTTGTTGACACACTTTCGGTCAATAAATCTACACTGTGTTGAAACGTCATATCATCAGGAAAACCCAAGGACGTTTCTGACTGCGATACCGCATTTCAAGGCTGTATCTTTCTATTTTGCAGACATGGGGGACATCATGGACCCAACATGAAGGACAGATTGTCGTTAAAGCTGCGTCTGGCCAAGCGTCTTCTGCTGATTAGGTAGGGCAACTTGGCCCAGTCGAGCCGGTGAGTTCTAAGGACGACGGAGCTTTATATACTCGAGAACAGCTGATCGCTTTCCATGCACGAGGCCACTGTCACCCCACGTGCTACCCACCAATCACGACCAGGAACAAGGGAAAAGGGTTTGTTCTTTTACTTAAAGCATAAAACGTCCCAGTAGCCTCCACAAGGGATATGGACTTCGAGTTAGCATAATAAAGTGATGAACTGCGTCTAGGATTTTGCATTTCCACGATGTCATTCGTCGGGTCAACTTTAAGCTTAGCTGTGGCCGAGAGCGCTGCACATCACCGCAACAGCGCACACGAGCCCGGCCACAGCGGTTTAACAGAGGACAAACATTTCTTACGAGTTCGACGGGATTCTATACAACCTAGCGATGAAGAAATAGCATTAAAGACACATACTACGGACTATGGTGGCGAGACTGTTGATATTCCCGAACCCTTGCCCCGGGATATTGATCGTGGATGGGCTTGGGTCGTGCTTGTGGCGGCGTTCGTGTCCAACTTGATTGCCGTCGGTATAACGCGCGCTGTTGGCGTGCATTATGTGACTTTCAAGGAAGAGTTTCGGGACAGTGCCAGCTTGACGTCCATGCTTGGAGCGGTAATGAACAGCGTGTCAGGCCTGTCAGGTAGGGTAGGGGATTTTAATTGTTTGGATGCTAGGTCGAATTTACGTACTGAGGCTGATGTGTTTTGAAGCAAACTGTCCCCCAGTCTTTCCCTACCCACGCATTATCTGCAAATGTTCATCAGAAAAACATGTCTTGCAATTGCAGATTTTATAACAAAGTACACCAAGAATACACACACACGCACAAACACACAAACACACACACACACACACACACACACACACAAATGAAAACTGAAAGCAATACAAGTAATTCTCACGTATTTCTTCATTAAGGACGAGGGTACACGCACGCTCTTACACGCATGCACACACATGTACTAGCGTGCATACGCAGGCATTTCGAGATGTTTCGACTACTCCATCAGCAACTTGAGCTAGAGCTCAGTTTCGGGTCATGACCGCAGTTATTAGTGAATATCAGCTATACATTACGCATTACACAGTTAAATCAATACATCTGACCCCGATTCAATATTTATGTAGCATACATCTTTGTTTTGATGGCAAGAGTCGCAATAAACGCATTTTTGCTTGGCCAGTCTTTATTAGTGTCTTCGCATGTGTGTACCCGTGCGCGCATGTGCGTACGCTGATCGGTCGTCCTTCCCTCCCCCCCCCCTGCTCCTG